CCCCAGGGGACGGCGCCGACGCATACACTCGTCTTGCGTCGGCGGCGAGACAGGGGTCGTCTGCGCTGGCGGGAATGCCTCGACGGGGGCACCGTTAGAGCGCACTGTGCCATCATGCAGGAGTAGGAACCGGCGGAGGACGCGGCCGCTGACCCACACGCAGACCATCGCCCGTTGACAAGAGATCGTCCGAGAGGGCCTGGGCCTCGGGCGGGCTGTCCTTGCCGATTCGGGGCTCGGGGGCCCAGGGCCGCCAAGAAAGGGCCCGGGACGGAGCACCGGCCCATAGGGGGGAGGGGTCGAGGCCTCTGCGGGGGGAGGGGGCGATGACGTCGTGCCTGCATCCCCTGATGGTCCAGTCAACCACTTACAGAATCAGGCCTCACGTTCAACGGGAAGGTGGAGGATGGAGAGAGGCCCAAACTTCCGATGGAATACTTTTCGTTCCGCGGGGTCTGGCCCAGAAGCCTCGACCCCTTCCCCGGGGGCAGTTGGTCGCTATAGATTCAAGGTTTGATAGGACGGCCGAAACAAGCGACCATATCCATACCGACGAAAGTCAGCGCGATGGAGGGGTGGAGGATGGAAGGAGGCCAGGGCCGCGGCATGCAGACGACGTCCTTGAGGTCCCAGCGCGCCCGGAGTACCAGGAGGCACTGCAGAAACGCCTCGCCAGGCGTGGCGACCAATCGTCGTCGTCGCGCGTCGCCCTTCGTCGTCGTCGTCGTCGACGCCTTCGTCGTCGTCGTCGCCGCCGTCGTCGTCGTCATTGTCGTCTTTGCAGACGTCTTCCAGAGTCCGTCGTCCGTCGTCCACTTTTCGCCGCCATCCGTCGTCGTCGCCGTCGCCGCCGCAGTCGTCGTTGTCGTCATCGTCGTGGTCGTGCTCGTCGTCGTAGCGGTACTCGTCGTCGTGGTACTCGTCGTCGTCGTCGTCGCCAGTCGTCGGTCGTCGGTCGTCAGTCGTCGGTCGTCGGTCGTCGGTCGTGGTCGTCGTCGTCGTCGTCGTTGTCGTGGTCGTCGTCGTCGTCGTCGTCGTCGTCCGTCGTCGTCGCCGTCGTGGGCCGTCGTCGTCGTCGTCGTTGTCGTTCGGCGTCGTCGTCGTCGTCGTCGTCGTCGTCGTCGTCGTCGTCGTGGGTCGTCGCCGTCGTCTTCGTCGCCGTCGTCGTCGTCGTCGTCGTCGTGGGTCGTCGTCGTCGTCGTCGTCGTCGTCGTCGTCGTCGTCGTCTGTCGTCGTCGTCATCTTCGTCTTCCGTCGTCCGTCGTCCGTCGCCCGTCGGCCGTTCGCCCCAAGCCCTCGTTCGACTGCGACCACCCCGCTCCCTCAGGGCTAACGTTAGGGGGAGCCCGGCTCAGAAGGGGTATCATCGACCTGGAATCGGCGATGCATCGCAAATCCGCACGTTCCTGGGCGGGCGGGGCTGTCGGGCCCCCATCGGTGATAAGTGGCGATTCGGGGTCGATGCGTCACCCCTGAGCCTTTCACCCCCTACCGTTGCCACGGGTCATAACTCGGCTCCCCGGCGGCGGTTCGGGACGATCCGGGCACCCCCAGAACGCTCTCGAAGAGGCGCAGCTGTTGGCGAGCATCCAGATGCTGGCTCACCGCGGAGATCCGACGAAAACACCAAAAAAAATCCTGGCGAAAGGCCTAACCATGCGCAATTGTGAATACCGTGTTGTGAGTACCGCTTTCGGTGGAGCTCCATATGGGGCCACGAACCGTGTGAGGGGTGTGCCAAAATGATCGTCGGGCGCATGCGGCCTGTGCCACTAGGGCCTTCGGTGGAACTCCCTGTGGGGCCACAGACCGTGTGAGGGGTGCGACTGCCACTGGAGCCTTCGGTGGAACTCCCAGTGGGGCCACGAACCGTGTGAGGGGTGTACCAAAATGGATGGCGGCCACCGCATTCAAACCCTGCCGCTGGGGCCTTCAGTGGAGCCCCCTGTAAGGCCACGATCCCTGTGAGGGGTGTGCCGAAATGGGTGGCGGTCCCCGCATGCAGA